ATCTGTTAGATTTTCCGTTAAAACTCATAAAAATGTCAAAATTAAAAAAAAAAAAAAATTATAGCACCCGTTCGGCCCCTATTTTTCCAAATTAAAATAGGTGGAATAGTTTTTTTTTTTTTAAATGAGTGATTGAAAAAGAATGAAAAAATTTCGATTTACATGTAATATTATTTTATGAAAGATTGTGTAATTAAAAATAGGAGAAAGAAAAATAAAATTTAATTTAATGGGGGCATAATTTCAGTAATTCAACTTTTTATTTTTTTTCAAACTAAATCCCTTTTTTTTTTTTTATATCTTCCAACTAAAATTCCAAATTTGTAGAATTTCACTTTTCACCCCACCCCACCCTACCCTTCCCCACTCCCTACTTGTTTGAGTCCCGTTTGAAAGCAAAGAATGTATTTTTAAATAGTAATTGATTGAGAATGAATAGTTAAAAATTAAAAAAAAAATTAAATTTGCGTATAATATTATTTTATTAAAGAATAAAATGAATTTTGAGAATGCGGCTCAAATAAGAGTTTAATCTTCTTTTCCCCAAAAATAAAAAATAAAAATAAAAATCAATCATTCTTGTGTTTAAAATCAAAGTTTTAGAAAATTGCGAATATGTTAAAAACATCAAATTATTCGTTCCTCAAATCCTTCCGGTAGCCACTTTTCTTTTTCGTTTTCCTCTTGGTTCTTGTCTTTCTAACAACCCACCTGAATTTTTGGCCTAAAAATTCAAGACCCTTTGCAATTTCATGTAACTGTTTATTAGAATTGCACCAGATTAACCTCAACCAGATTCTACGCCAGATTGAACGGACCAGATTTATCTCACACGAATTCTCCCAGCTGTCTCCAGCTTCCACAGATTCTTCCTACAGCTGTTAATTAGTTGGTAGTTATGTTAGTAGTTAGATAGCTAGTCTTCTTGTATATAAATACAAGACTTGTACGCATTGTAGCTCATTGGAATTTCTTCTTCCAATCCCTCCCTTTCATGGAGGTTTATTTTCCTCCTTCTTTGGAGTGTTCCGTTCCTCCTATTATGGAGTGTAATTTTGCTCCTTTAATAGAGTAATCGATCTTCTCCTTTTATGGAGATTTCTCATTCAATAAAATGTAACACTGTTTTTACAGTAAAGGTTGCTTCGAGTTGATTTTCACGGTTTTTAGTTTTTGGATTTGCAGAATAGTTGTGGAATGTGTATGCAGACGGTGAAGAAAAGCCAAGACATGGCAATGTACACAGCTCAATGCTCCCACACTTTTCATTTCCCTTACAAAGCCACTCGTGTAAAGAATTAAAACTCCCTAATTTCCCCAATTTGCAGCACTACTAGAAAAGATGTGCCTTTACTTTCTAGTTTTCAATATGCATAAACTTCAAGAACAAACACAATTTTGATGAAACCAAATAAAATAAAGTACAAGTAGAGTAACCACCAAAAATTAATCAACAAGAAACAAGGGAATTCAATGATGATGAGCCATTGGTTTTGCCCAGAATGTTTATTTATATTCCAAAAGCTAATAAGAAGAAGGATTTGGCAGCCTAAGGTAGAGGTGAGTAGCTATTTTCGATGATTTCCTTCTGGGTGGTGAAGGACTCTGTAGGCAACGGTGATGGCGTGGTTGTGTATTTTATATTTTGGGTTTAGGAGGGTGGGGATATGGTGAGGAGAGATTTTAGAGTTAATTTGCATAAAGCATTTCTTTTTTATTTCATATGAGTAAGGCATTTCTTCGTAAAATACATTATAAGTGATGTAAAAGTAATATTTTGTACTAATTTGTTAGAGGATTTGATGAATCTCGAACGAATTAAAGAAAATAAAATTTAGAATAGAAATTTAAGAGAAGAAAATTGTACTCTCAAAACTCAATTTCTATTATTCAAATTTTTTATAATGCTGTAATACTATAAATAAGCAATCTTTTTATATAACTTAATTATTAATACATAAATTTAAACTCCCATTAAAAATTTTAGATACGTGAATATGAATAAATTCATCTATAATAACTTTAGATTCATGTAATTCAAGATTCATCAAGTGAAAATTCATTGAATCTAGGTTAATATGAATGTCAATTAATTGAAAATTAATAACACTAATTACATAAATGACAATGACTATATAGTATTTATTACATATCGTAAAATGAAAAGTAAGGTATTATTAAAGTAATTGAATTGTAGAGGGGTTAAAATCGTAAAAAACAAAAAATGATTCTCCCTTGGTGTAATATTTTAATATATTATGGCCCCGTTTAGTAGTGATTTTTTAAAAAATGTATTTTTTCTCTCTTCTTTTCAACCACACATTTTTTATTAAAATAATACTAGTCTATGTTACATGCGATGCACGAGTTGTGCATAAATTATGATTTGGTTAGCGTATGTATTGAATATATTTGAAAATATATTAGAAGATGGAATTATTGGCAAGAAATTAACCAGTAAATAATTGAGATAATAGTATACATATCGATGTGTTTGATTGTGATTTGTAAATTTATCGTAGTTAATCATGTGTTTATATTACAGTCAATAATAGATAAGAGAGAATAAAAATTAACTTCATTACCATCGTTAATTACAGAGTATAGCCAAGATAAAATAAATAATGATTGATTTTCGAGATGGATGATGTAGGGATTACATATACATCATTTGTCATTACTTTTTTGTTTGGCAGTTTTTTATCAGGAAATTATACATACTTAACAAAATAGAGTTTCAAGATCAAATTTACAATGAATGCAAATTTCACAAAACGAAATAGCAAAAAATTCACAAAACCGCACAGCACTCTTGTCAAAAGGTTGGTTTTACGAAAATATTTCGACTACCATTTACTCCAATTTTTCTTTGTGAGCAAGTGGATTTGAGTCTGAACTTATTTTTTCATCACAAGCCACTTTTGAGCTGGAACTCTCATTGGAAGATTTGAAAAGGGTTTTTTTCGCTGGAGGTGACCAATCTTCTTGATAGTCCGTACTAATGTTTTTCCCAACATTTTTCCCAACTGCTGTAACTACAACCTAACTGTCAACGTTTGTTTGAATTTTTGGTTCAAGACTTGCATGATCAATATTTGCTTGAATTTCTTGTCCTGGACTTGGATGGTCTAAGTCTGTTACAGAGATGATATCAAATCTGTAACTTGATGAATTAGGTTCATTTTGTGATGCTTTTAAGTAGAAAGCTCGTTCAATATTCTACATTTTTTAATGGTTGCTTCGAAATTTGTCTTTGAACCCTGTGTTAATTTTAAATTATATCAATATTATTCTACTAAAATATGTACTGAATGGCAAAATGTTTGAGACAAGTTGGATTTCTTACAAATTTGGTTTCTTCCATCAAAGACTCTGAAGTTTTAAATAATAGTTTCTCAACTGGTTCACCAATTGCATTTGCACTAATTGATCTCGTGATATCTGAAAGCCGCACATATGCTCTAGCCCTAAAGTGAAAAAGAAATTAGTATTAATAGATGTAAGAGTAATAAAGAAAAGTTGAAAGGCCATGCATAAATAAATATTTTACCTTCACCAAATGAAGTAAAAAATGAAAAGTAATTAATTGTTAGTGTATTTTACTGCGAAATAGCTTTGGAATTGGGATTCTTGCAAAAAATACAAAGATATGTTTCTTCAAAATCAACATTCGACCGTCTAAAACAGTTGTTGCAGGCCATGTACCAAGATTTGCTATCAATTTTATTTGTTGTTGCTGTGCCGTTTACCCAATAAAACTTTCGCTGTTACAGTATGAATATACTTAGAGAAATTTCAAGGAAAAATAAATAATATGATTGAGTGTATCTTGTAATATATATCTCTATATTAGGAAATAAATACAGATTGAATAGCATACGTAACCTTAATATTACTATTAGAAGGCGTCTCCGAGAATTTTGAATAGGAGTGAATTTACTTTGTACATGTGGAGAAAGATTTGTGGGGCTTTTGTCCATGTATGATTTTTTTCAATACAAAATCATCTATTTTAATGGAATTTGTTCTTACACTAATCAAAAGACATGAAGATAATTAGTAACTCCAATAGTAATGTGTGGAAAAATAATCGAGAGGGAAAAAAAGAATAATAAAATATAGCACTTTGCACATACCATTCTGTCATTTGTTTTACTGCGTTGAAAGGTGTATTTATGAAGAAAGTGGAACGGATTTTCGTGAACAATTTTAAACCA